CCTTGGCTTACAACAGGTGCGCTTCAAGGTGTTGGTTATCATCTTTAAAGCGCTCCATGGCATAGGGCCTAGCTATCTTCGAGACCGCCTGCTGCCACCGACGACCTCCCATCGACCCGTGCACTCCCACAGAGAGGGCCTCCTCGGGGTGCCATCAGCCAAACAATGTAGGCGGGTGACCCCCAGGGGGAGGGCCTTCTCTGTGGGGGCACCTACCCTCTGGAATCAATTGCCCCCAGAGATAAGGAGAATCCAAGACCTCAGTGCCTTCCGCCATGCCCTTAAAACCTTCCTTTTCCAGCAAGCCGGGCTGGCCTAATTTTTTAAGTGTTTTTAAGTGTTTTATTTATTGTTTTTATTTAATCGGGCCAAATTTATATATATATATATATTTAACTGTGTTTTAATATTTGTACTTGATGTTTTTACTTGGCTGTTCACCACCCTGAGTCCTCAGGGAGAAGGGCGGTATACAAATTCAAATAAAATAAAATAAAAAAAATAAAAAAAATAAAAAGTTCATTTAGTGACTGTTCAAAGTTACAAGGGCACTGAAAAAAGTGACTTACAACCGTTTTTCACGCTTCCAACCTATTGTAGCATCCTCTTGGTCATGTGATCAAAATTCAGAAGCTTTTGGCAACTGACTCATAATTATGACGGCTGCAGTGTCCCGGGATCATGAGATCACCTTTGGCGACCGTCTGACAAGCAAAGTCAATAGGGAAGTCAGATTCACTTAACAACTGTGTAACTAATTTAACAACTGCTATGACTCACTTAACAACTGTGGCAAGAAAGGTAGTAAAATTCACTTAACAACTATTGTGCTTAGCAACAGAAATTTTGGGCTCAATTGTGGTCGTAAGTTGAGCAGAAGTTCAGTTGTGTCCACCCCCGAAGATGAGAACTAACCCAGTCTACTAAGCTTGTCTGTCTTTGTTCCTTTTCAAATTCTTTCTAGAATGATGATTGACAGGTATAGTAATGGGAGAAGATGGGAAAATGGCAGGAAGGTATACAAATGGAAGATGACAGATTCTGGATCTTTAAAAATAAGTACTTATAAAGTTGTTCAGAATGCTGAATGCTAATGAAAGTTGTATCTGGAGGCGACCAAGTTCCTGTTTGGAGGTGTGTCTGTTTTCCAGTGTTCATTACCATCACATGGATGATTTTCCCTCTGCAACTTCCAAAATGTCATAAACTTCATTATAAATAGGATGCAGAGGTGGGATTCACATCATTTAACAACCGGTTCGCCTAGTGCAGAACCGAAAATGCGAGTGTGCAGCTTGCACGCGGCTTCAAACAGCGATTTCCGGCATGTGGCTTCCAGCACACCTTCTCAGGCAGCTGCGGTGAGTAGAGCAGGCAAGGCATGGAAATCAGCTGGGCTGCATGGGTGGGGCGAGCGAGCCAGAGAGTGAGATCAGTGGTGGGTTGCTCCCGGTTCGCACCGGTTCGCAAGAACCGGTAGTAAAAATTTGTAGTAGTTCGGAAAACCAGTAATAATATTGGATGGCCACGCCCCTGAACCGGTCCCCGGCCCAGTCACCGCTCGCTTACCCCACCCACCTCATCAGAGACTTTTTTTTTTTACTTTTAAAAGCATTTTTCTACAACCTCTTCGGCTGAAAAAATGCTTTTAAAAGTTTTTTAAAAAAGCCTCTGATGATTGTGTGGCTCAGCTGGGATCGTCAGAGGTTTTAAAAGCATTTTTTTCTGCAACTGAAGAGGTTGTAGGAAAAAAAATGCCTTTAAAAGCCTCTGGCAATCCCAGCTGAGTTGCCTGATCGTCAGAAGCTTTTAAAAGCATTTTTTTCTGCAACCTCTTAAGGTTGTAGAAAAAATGCTTTAAAAAAAAAAGTTGGCCACGCCCACCCAGTCACATTACCCCCCACCAAGCCACGCCCACAAAATAAGCCACGCAGGTAGTAAAAAATTTTAGAACCCACCCCTGAGTGAGATATACAGTATAGGATAGGATAGCGCTGGGGCAGGTGGGCAGGCACAGCCGGTGGTCGGAACTACCAGTTTGCTCAAACCAGTCTGAACCGGCAGCAGCCCACCTCTGAATAGTATGGAAAGAGCTTGAATTAGGCCAGTGTGAATAGGGATTAATAGGTAAAATTGACAAAACTGTCTGTCCAAACTTTGAAATCCTTAATTTGTAAAAACCTGGGTTTAAATCTCCACATAATCAATCATGTTTGTGATTCTCTTTCTCTCTCCCTCCCTCTCCACCCCCCTTTCTTCCTCCCTCCCCCTCCCTTTTAACAAATAAATGCAGGCAAATACAATTCTGTTCTAAAAGTTCATCTTTATCAGAAATATATATAAAAGTGTGGCCATTAGTACAGGATTGAACCACTTATTTATTTATTTATTTATTATTTAAATTTGTATACCGCCCTTCTCCCGAAGGACTCAGGACGGTGAACAGCCAACATTTAAAACACATACAGTATAAAAATTAAAAAGAATTAAAACAGAATTAAATCAGTTTGGCTTCCCTAAATTTTTAAACCCTTTCCCCATAAAATAACCCATTAAAATTTTAAGACAGCCCAGCTTGCTGGAATAAGAAGGTCTTTAACGCTCGGCGGAAAGTACGGAGGTCCAGGATCAGTTGTATTCCTGGGGGTAGCTCGTTCCAGAGGGCGGGTGCCCCCACAGAGGGCGGGTGCCCCCCCACTTTTATGTGCATCACTCATACAATACAGGTTGAAAAGGAAAACGGCATTGATTTTATAGTTATGCCTCCCTATCTTGATCTTTTTTACTTTTTTGACTTCCTATAATTTAGTTCACATTTTTTGTAATCTCGTAGATAAAAAGGAAATGGGAAAGGGAACAGTTTGATCAAATTGCGCAGCTTTATGTTGGGATTGTCATAGTGTATTTTATAAATTTTATGTCTTTCCTGTGCTATTTAATTGTTAATTACCCTTCGCTGTTTTACATTTTTTATTTCCTTTGTCTTAAAAATCTTAAGACATTGTGAAGAAGCTGTCCACCCAGGCAATTGTGACTGTTGAGTAGATGAAAAACAAAATAAATAAAACCTTCCCAATTAGTTGGCATAATTGGGGATCAATTAAAAGTAAAGATTAGTACCACCTGAAGCCTTTTTCAAACCCATTGACTTTCATAGAGATCTCGGCTCTTGCTGTCTCTTTTGTCTCTAGTCTCTTAGAAGTTCTGCAGATGCTTATAATTATTTTGCCATGTCTGTGCTTGGTTTAAGGCCAGGGGTGAAATACTACCGGTTCAGACAGGTTCGGCTGAACCAGTAGGGACGGTGGCAGGTGGTTCGGAGAACTGGTAGCAACAGCAGTGCGAGGCTCCACCCACCCGCCCGGTTGTCGTTACTTCCTGATTTTAACCAGGAAGTAACCTGTTTTTTACCCTCTGGGCATGTGCAGAAGGGTTTGCGCATGCACAGAGGGTCCGCCCACGCATATGATGCATGCACATGCGCACGGCACATACACTTCCAAACCAATAGGGAAGGTAAGTAGATTTCACCCCTGTTTAAGGCCCAGTATGTGGCTATTAGCCCCAAGAAGCTAGTTAGCAGATATTTGTGTGGGTGCATCAATCATAACGATAAAAATAATAATAACAGTAACAGAGTTGGAAGGGACCTTGGAGGTAATCTAGTCCAACCCCCTGCTCACACAAGAGACCTATAAGAGGGATTCGAACCGCCAAACTGCCAACCTTTCTGATCGACAAGCTCAGCGTCTTAGCCACTGAGCCACCTTGCCAGGCTTAAAATGTTAGGTTGACTATGAAAGGCAGGTGAAGGAGGATCCTTGGACCAAAACAAGGTCTTATAATTGTCATATAAGTATTATCTGCATAACATGGGTAGATTTACAGAGACATTCATCTTATCCTAATGGGACTTACGAAACTGCATTGGGGTACATGCTTACTCTGTGATACCGTATAGTTCAGGGGTGCCAAACTCGCAGCTCATGAGCCAGATGCATCACACGCTGGCCATGCCCACCCCAGTTTAGCAAAGGGGGAAAAAGTAATGATACATCACATGACGACAACGTGACGACGCGAGTTTGACACCCTTGAGGTTATACTGGAAACCATTGTAATCCTGGGCCATAGACAAGGACCAGAGATTTGTGTAGCTGGACAGACCCAGTGACTTACAACTGAGGCAACTTTGAAAACATGAGATGAGACCTGTGAGCATTACAGAATCAGCAAGGAATTGGACTAGACCTGCAAGATCCCTCCTTATCCTTTAATTCTATGAAATTGATCATTAGCCAATCACAACCACCTATTTATTTGGTGGCCACACCTCCAAATGAAGAGCCTCTTTATTTATTTGAAGACAATGTGTCCAGGTGATATCCTGCATCCAGAAGCTTGCTTTCTCAGGAAGACAGATTATGTTGAGACTAGTGATAGCTTTCCAGCATGCTAACTTCCTGTTTAATTGTTTCATTATTATTAAAAGAATGGGCAGAGAAAGGGACCCTCCTGGCTTCTCGGGCTGTAAAAAGACAGCAAGAGATCTGTGCTTTCAGGCTTGTAAGATTTTGTTAATGAAGCCTTACAATAAAATAGAATTAGCTCATCTGGTCATGCTCCCTGTCTGGTCTACCTGGGAAGACTGACATCAATATTGCAAATCTGAAAGTGCAAATCTCCTACTGCCTCCTTTTACAGCCTCAGAAGCTAGGGAGGGTCCCTTCTGAACCTCTTTCTCCACCCATTATCTGCTGTGGGCTATGCGCTCTCTTATCTGGCTGTTCCCTAGGCAGCATTTCTTCCCACCATCTCTCAAGGTCTTTCTCATATGCCATTACAATATGCTATAAAACAGGAGTTATGCATTCATCACAGAAAGTTGGAGAAAAGCCTACCTTGAAGTGTAGGCAGATAGAACTTTGGAAGACATGTGGGGGTGGGAAGAATCGGGCGTCAGTAGGTGAATTCTTCATCTGTTTCTGTTTTTCTTTCAGGATCATCGAAACAAGCACGATTCAGCAGGAGAGGCTCCAGGCTATAGCGGTAAGTTGCTCATGCGTTGAATCATATTTGCACCGGCTTGTAATTATATTCTCCACATTTGCTTAATACTCAGTGCTAAGTACTTTCGGAACTTTTGAAACAAGTAAAGTATTATACCGTAGCTCTGAGCAGCTCTATTAGGTAAGTATTAGCTTCCTGATGACTCAACTTTGGTTGAATGACAGGATAAACGTAGATAAGATAAGATAACCTTTATTGTCATTTTTTATGATGAGTACACTGGCGCACATTAAAAATGAAATTCTGTTGTGTGCTCTCAAAAGAAAGTGTATATCTACCCATACCCATACATAACACACATATATACATGTTATATACATACATACACACACACACACAAACATATACTGTATATGTATGTATATATATGTGTGTGTTGTGGCCTGTCAGCCACCAGCCCCTCCAGCAACCAAATCAGATGAGGAGGAGGTGTGGGAGTCAGCATCAGGGCAACCTGAGAGCTCCGAGGGGGAAGAGGGAATGAAGCTGTCAGAGAGAGAGAGAGGGGGGGGGCGGAGCCTGGGTCATCCGTCAGCCCTCAGATGGAGAGTCCCCAGGTCTGGAGGTGGCTGATGAGGAAGAGGAGGAACAGCTGGGTCCAGTGCCTGACGCACGGATGCGCAGAAGGCAGAGGAGAGGAGAGCACTGATGGAAAGAGGAAACTTGAGAGTTCACAAGGTTGATGCTATATGGGACAAAACTGTGACTGAATCTGGATGTTCTGCTTCGGATACCATGAAGCCTCCTCCCAGAAGGTAACAAGGAAAACAGGTTGTGAAGAGAATGTGTAGCGTCCCAGATAATCCTGCAGTCTCTGCTCAAGCATCACTCATATGCCATGTCCTGGACAGAAGGAAGTGAACTACCAAATAATAATCAAAAGCCAACGTGGGTTTGTCAAAAACAGATCATGCCAGATTAATCTTATTGCATTCTTTGACAAAGTGACAAAATTAGTGGACCAGAGGAATGCTGTCGATATAATTTACTTGGACTTCAGTAAAGCATTTGATAAAGTAGACCATAACCTACTACTAGATAAAGTAGAAAAATCTGGGCTAGACAGATGGATTCATAACTGGCTGACCAACCGCACTCAATGTGTAGTTCTCAATGGAATTGCATCTACATGGAAGGAAGTATGCAGTGGAGTACCCCAGGGCTCTGTTTTAGGCCCAGTACTCTTCAACATCTTCATCAATGACTTGGACGAGGGGATAAATGGGGAACTCATCAAATTTGCAGATGACACCAAGCTGGCAGGAATAGCCAACACTCCAGAAGATAGGCTCAAGATACAGAAGGACCCTGACAGACTTGAAAATTGGGCGCTATCTAACAAAATGAAATTCAACAGTGAAAAAAGCAAGGTTCTTCATTTAGGGAAGAAAAACCAAATGCACAGGTACCGTATATGTGGTAACTTGCTCCATAATAGTAACTGTGAGAGGGATCTTGGAGTCCTAGTGGACAACCATTTAGATATGAGCCAGCAGTGTGCAGCAGCTGCCAAAAAAGCCATCACAGCTCTGGGCTGCATAAACAGAGGGATAGAATCAAGATCACGTGAAGTGTTAATTCCACTTTATAATGCCTTGGTAAGGCCACACTTGGAATGTTGCATTCAGTTTTGGTCGCCACGATGTAAAAAAGATGTTGAGACTTTAGAATGAGTGCAGAGAAAAGCAACAGAGATGATTAGGGGACTAGAGGCTAAAACATATGAAGAACGGTTGCAGGAACTGGTATGTCTAGTTTAATGAGGAGAAGGACTAGGGGAGACATGATAGCAGTGTTCCAATATCTCAGGGGTTGCCACAAAGAAGAGGGATAATGAAGAGAAGGACTAGGGGAGACATGATAGCAGTGTTCCAATATCTCAGGGGTTGCCACAAAGAAGAGGGAGTCAAACTATTCTCCAAAGCACATGAGGGTAGGACAAGAAGCAATGGGTGAAACTAATCAAGGAGAGAAGCAATTTAGAACTAAGGAGAAATTTCCTGACAGTTAGGACAATTAATAAGTGGAACAACTTGCCTGCAGAAGTTGTGAATGCCCTAACACTAGAAATTTTTAAGAAGATATTGGATAACCATTTGTCTGAAGTGGTGTAGGGTTTCCTGCCTGGGCAGTGGGTTGGACTAGAAGACCTCCAAGGTCCCTTCCAACTCTGTTATTCTATTCTATTCTACCAATGATCTTTTCTGCCATCCTCACCACTCTCTGCACCGCCTTCCTCTCTGAAGCAGTAATGCTTCCAAACCAGACAGTAATGCAATATGACAAGATGCTTTCGATCATCCTTCTATAGCACAGGTGTCAAACTCGATTTCATTGAGTGCTGCATCAGGGTTGTGTTTGACCTCAAGGGGCCAGGATGGGCGTGGCCAGCTCGACATCACTCGTGTCGGGGATGCCTGTGGGGTCCCGAGGGCTCTGCCAGCAAAAATGGGCTCCCGAGCTCCATTTCCAGCTGAGATGGCCTCCTGCAACCCTCTGCCAGTGAAAACGGAGCTCTCGAAGGCCACATGCGGCCCTCCCGAAATCCGTTTTCGCTGGCAGAAGCACCACGGGCTGGTCCTTTGCTGTTTCCAGGGTGGCCTCGTGGGCCAGATCTAAGCACCCAGATCTAAGGCCTTGAGTTTGATACCCCTGCTCTATAGAAAGTGATAAGGACAGGGGAAGGAAGGGGAACTTTTTTCATGCAAGGAAGAAAATGCAGGTGCTGCTGTGCCGCTTCACCAGTGTCTCACTGTTGAGCGAACTTTTCACCAGTAAGAGCTGTGGAATGAGTTCCTGAGTGTACAGTTTGGATAGCCTAAAGCACTAAGATGGCAGGGCCAGGGCCTTAATATTACACTTGTGGAGTCAATTGACATAACTTCATCCCCAGAAAAAATGAAATTAAATTCAAACTGGAAGGGCAGTAGATTAAAACAATGCTTTAATTATCATTTGCCAGTGGAAAAAATATGCCAGAAGGCTGCCTGGTTGTTCTATCGAATTAATAATTGTCAATTAGAAGCAGAAAACAAGCTGGCTGGATGATTGATCTCTATTTTGACAGCAAACAGGGAAGATGTGCAGTTTGTAGCAAATGAGCATGCCCAGTACCATTGCTACATAAGTCCCACCCTGCAGCAGGGTCAAATGAAGGAGGGATTTGTACGGTGATGTCAATGACGTGTAGAGTTTTCCATAACTTGTTGGGTTTTGCTGCAAGATTCTTTGGTGTTAGATATTGTGTATTAATGATGAGGTTAATGTAGGAGAAGATCAGGCGGAGCTGGGAGGCGGAGTTAAATGCATCATCAATTTAGAATCTTTGTGTTGCTACAAGAGATCCAAGTCCAGCCCCCCCTTGAATTCTGTTCACCTATCGAGTGCCAATTCAGTGCTGGCCAGTACTTTTGTTTATAGCAGTGGTGTCTAAACATGGCAACTTTAAGACTTGTGGACTTCAACTCCCAGAATTCCACAGCCAGCATTGCTGGCTGGGGAATTCTGGGAGTTGAAGTCCACAAGTCTTAAAGTTGCCATGTTTGGACACCTCTGGTTTATAGGCTTGAATTAATCTTCTATGTTGCAACCTTATAAATCAGGGGTGGGGAACTATGGCCCTTTTATGACTTGTGGACTTCAACTCCCAGAATTCCTGAGCCAGCATGGATTCTGGGAGTTGAAGTCCACAAGTCATAAAAGGGTCATAGTTCCCCACCTCTGTTATAAATGCTCCTGATTCTTTGCACCTGATATTAGGCTTTCTAAAAGACCCACCTCAGGTCCTACGGTATATATGGTTCACAATGCCCTTGTCCAGAATAGCGGCTTAGGTCTGAAGAGTTTTGAGCTCCAAAACTGCTCTCTGGGAAAATCCAGCAAGATAGCCTCCCCCCTCCCCCCCCCCCCCCCTCCATTATAAGACTCTTCCAACAATTCCATGAAAATGGTATTTGGACAAAATGGCTTCCTCACCTGCTGGTTATTATTGGAAAGCAGCTTAGAGTCCTGGTGTTGTGTGTGTTTGTGTGAGGGGGAGAGGGAGAGGGAGAGGGAGGGAGGGAGGGAGTGGGGAGAAGGAGGCAGAGGGAAAGGGGGAGAGAGAGAGAGGGAGGGAGGGAGGGATGGAGAGAGAACAAATTATGAAGGGAATGATTATCAGAGTCCTTCAGGCTTAATTCCAAAGCTGCAGATCCGTTGCCTGCCTTTCCCGGGATCAATAGATGCTGCTGTTTGGAAAAACAAACAGGCTTGTAACCAATAAAGCAAAGATTCATTCTGACTAGAAAGAAGAGGATGCAACCAGCCTGCGCAAAGTTTGTTTGTTTCAGACTGCACTGGGTCCCACTCCTTGAGGTCAACAGACGTAGTTTCTAAATTATTCCACTTTTTTTTCTGCACCTCAGATATCGACTCTGATTATTCCAAATGCTGCCCTTGCAGAAATATTCCAATCAAAAGGAATAGGTTCATATAAGGGCCCTATAGACAATCGAGGGATTAGAAACTACAAAGTCCTCAATTTGCAAACTTTTAGTTACTATTTGAAGTCACAACTGTAGTGAAAAAAGTGACCAATCCTCAGACTTTACAACTGTTGCATTATCCCTGTAGGTCACGTCATTTAAGTTTGGATGCCTGGCAACGGGCATGTATTTCCAACAATTGAGGCATCCTGGGGCCAGGTGATCTCCATTTGCAACTTTTCCAGCTGGCTTCCCTCAAACAAAGTGAAGGAAGGGGGAGGGGGGAGGGGGGAAGCCAGATTCACTTAATGACTATGCGATTCACTTAACAGCTGCAGCGATTCACTGCAAAAAGGTCATAAAATTGGGTGGGTTTCCCTTAACAACCATTTTGCTTACCAGCTGAAATTGTGGTTTGTCGACTATGGTTGTATCTCGAGGATTTCCTTCATTTATGTGAAGAAAAATGGGCTTCCTTTGTTTTTTCTTTGAAGACATTTTGCTTCTCATCCA